TATCTTCGTTAACTTTTGTTTTTTAAACAGTAGTATCTAAAAATAGATTCACATAACCTTCGTGAAAATATCTCGTTCCTCTCGCTGAATCATTTGATTATCCTTTCATTTCTAACAAATGTCATCACAAAAAGCCTCATTGATTTGAAACAAGTTGTTTATTTCTTGCGAAGGTATCTTTATGTGATGTTAATTAAAGTGATAATGCAAGCTTCACAATCAAGCCACTTTTACTGCTTTCTATATAAAGCATCATTTTATTTTTCATTGCTTTTAACGATATTATATCTTTCTTTGATCTCTGTCACTGGATGTATTACACGAATCTACATACATTTTTCCGAACAGTCATAAACCTTATCTCGATTCCGGCATTTTATTAATAGTGAACAAATTCTGCCAAGTTCTATATAATGTATTTACGTTGTTCAAATTCAATTTTTTCTATAAGTTTTTTGTGATGTTTAAGAGTATTTGAAATATAGTATGAACTAGTAATCGCTGCAATAACGCAATTTAATCAAGAAGTATTTGATGCGCACGAACGAATGTACTGTATTTGGAATTCAAAATCAAAACAGTTATAGACACAAGCGAATCATTAGTTCATTCAAATACCACATTTTTCATGGTGTTGGTTTTTTCTCTTGCTGAATAGTCGAGCTATCAAAGGAAAGTCTGCCAGTGATGAGTCTTTTGCATTCTACTTTCGGAGTGAGAACTTCCAATTTTTCCCCAGAAATGCATATATTGAAAGTTACAAAAATGTCCCATTTGTATCATCAGTGTTCTGAAAAGTTTAATGTCATCGATAGTTTCATCAAACTTGAAGTAGATGTGAAATAGCTATGTACGTTAAATGATGTGTGAAAAATATCTAGGACCAGTGAAAGTTCACGCAAGACACTATCCATAAAGGATGATACATTCACAGAAGCTCTGTCATCGTAAATTTCTCCTCTTATACTAAATAAGTTACTGTCATCAGCCTGAATGTGTTCTTCACGGATTCTTACAAGCACTACCACTGGCTGCATGATAAGCAGAGTCAGTATAGACAACGTCCAGATTTCCACGTTATATCATATAGATGAGGCAATTAGATAATGACGAGCCAATCAAATAACATTAGTGTGCAATAATGTATTAGTCTAATAGCATAAATATCTTTAATAATACCCATCTTAGACGTAAATCCCACAGTAGTTGGATATTGTATGCCCAATATCGTTATGTGAATCCAGTTTCATTGCAAAGAAATTAAATTGTGCTATTCACCCAGTACCACTATCATCTCAGTACAGCAGTGTCCACCCAATCCTATTATACGTGGTTGTTTACAACATGCTAGTTAATTCACTTACTTGAATATACACTCAGGAACATTCATACTTTGGTTCTTACTTGATCCTTTAGCCCCCGACCATTAGGCTGAAGTTAGAGAATGCAACGTGTAAGTTGTACTTCTTCGACAACATATTTTTCTAACCTTCCTCAGTGGAAAAATATACAAATAACAGAAAGAATGCACTGAAATTGCTCTGGAGTGCTGTTTATTTTTTCGTTAGCCACGTCTTGTGTATTGGCTTTTACTCAGGTCTCTTGTAACCACGCTTATTGTTCTGAAGCCATCTCTGTTTGAGGTTTCACTGTTTGACTTTGGTCGAGATTTATATTCACTACTTAACTTCCCCGTTGCATGTTGACGTGACATTGACAGTAAGGTTGTGTTTGGTTTCCATCAAGGTTAAGGCTTGGTTCATTCGATGATTCTTGACCATTGGTTGTCTTCTGAAAACTGTTACTTCAATCTTTTTAGAGAGGTAATTGATCCAACGTTTCCGGGAGTAATTTTGTTGATTCTCAGATATCGAACACTTATTTATTAACCATTCATTTTGCTGTGTTAGAGAAACCTTTGACTATGGCACAAGCTGTACTGTTTGAGATACTTTTTACTTTGAAAATAATCATTCTCCATTGTTAAATTGGAACGGTTTAAATCCAGCAAGTTATCTGGATTGTTTAGCTGCTCACAATTCATGGAATTATTGAATTCAACACATACCCTCTCCACCCTACCGTCCTCAATCCAGTGGACAGAGGGAGCGCTTTGTCGACACATTCAAAAAGAATTACTGAAAGAGGCAGACGAGGGAAAAGGCCAGGTAACTAAAGAATTGTTAAAAGCTTATGGAACCACTCCAAATCACTTGTTAGTTAAATTGCCTTCACACATGCTTTAAATCATCCCTTCCGAAAATGCAATCGCACATCGATCTTTAATATTCTTCTGATTACTATGATCTTGGTTACGTATGTTCATCCAAAATTCACAGACTAAAGTATGCTAGAGGTTGTGATTTTAGATTATGTTCAATTGATAAGAAACCGCGGAATAGAATGAATTCGTTTTGTTTTGCATACCTTGCCGTTTTTGTTCTGCTTAAATGAATCGTGGTTCGTTAGTTCTGTGTTAATGCTAGGTACTGTAGTTTCAGCCGTTACATTCCTTCATTTGTGCCTTCGTTATGTTCTCCACCTAACTTCGTCTAAAGTACAAAAGGTTGACCTGTTAACTGAGTACTAGATGTTACCACAGGGCGACAGTATATTTTATTGGATTGTTTCTATCGTTTGTCCCAGGAAACCTAAGGTCATACCAGCATAGTGGTTAAATATCTAACTACACATTAATAATGTTGTCTTTGTGTTGGTGACAAAAGTAAAATGAGTCGTCAGTCGTAGCAAGGGCAACCATATATTGGATTAAACTTCATGCAGGATTGGCTAAAATTGTCAGTGGTCGAACAAACAGGTTTGAGTAAGTATAAGAAGTAATGAGACTGTGTGGTTACTATAACGTGCCATCAGTTTGTTCACAGTGGTTTGTAACTACGGATATTTAGCTATAATGAAGTGCTCCACGTTCTGATTGGCTTCTATGATCAGTCACTGTTATAAGAGGGCCTATTGTGCAACGAAGATGTTACTATCGGCTGCAACAATGTTACCATTGTAAGGCACGGCTTCCGAAATTGTATAAAATGACTAACTTGTCTAAAGATGTATGTGAAGTCAATTATTTTGCTGGATAACTCATGAGATCAAAGTTAACACGATCAAAAAGACCATTTTCTGGTCCGGACTTGATCTGTCTTCCCTATGAATATTTTTAACAAGTTAAATTGAAATGAGCTTATCTACATACCCCGCCTTTCGTAAAAGATCAGGAGAACAGCTGAGAAATGGGTACAAAATATATGAAAAGGGTTTTCTTAGAATTCTTCTGGGTCTGTAAAACAGTATGGTCACCTAGTAAGTTCACTACTAGATATGTACCTCTACCTGTGAAATGTTTAGTTAACCTCCTAAGTTGTCCTCGCGTGGAATGTTCTAGATGGGTTACTACTTTGTCAAGATAATGGACACTTATCACATAAGTATCCAACAATGTTCTACACAATATAGCATTAGATTTTAATAAACTTTCAGGGAAGAACATACAAAGAACGCTTTCAAAATGAGAAAAGTTTATTAGAATTGATTGATCGAGGCTTTACGTGTAGAATAATGTGCAAATCACAACCTACTTGTGCAGTACGTTGTATTAAAAACACTGCATGGTCCAGGCAAAACATCAGGGGACCAATCGACCAGGATATGGAAACATGTCAGCCCAGCAGCGTTATCAAAAGTCTTAGAGATGTTCCACCACATCAAGGTCTTGGATGCCCACTCGTTTCGAAGGTGTTCGTGGGGATTTATTGTGAAAGCATTCATTATTTTTCGTTCACTAGAATAATTTTCGTATTGATGTAGAAGAAGTACTGACCATGCAAAAGAAGATAATCATGAAGGGAAAGCATAGCTTTATGTGGGATATCAACGTCAGTAACAAACGAAATCGACCGTATTCCTATAAATAAAGTATACTATTTTCCTAGAGATGTCACACATATTCAGTACCTAATAATATCGTCATCCATAACCTCTTCTTACACACGAACCCTGAAAAGGAATTGAGCCAGATGTCGACAATGAAAGGATTAGGGGAGATGTTTGGATAATAGAAGTTGTGAAAAAGTATTTGAAACCTTAGCTGACTAGTTGTTGTAAGAGAAATGCAGCACGGTGTATCTAGGAAAGGTCTGGTGCGAGTGCTTGACGGGTTGTCACAATAGAACTAAAGGGTCATCTTCAATGTGGATAACTTATGAAACTTTGTTTCATGAGTTTGTTTATCATCACACATCTGTCGAGAACATGAAATATTTTCCCCCAAGCAGCATTGTTTAAAACGTGATATACCTTGAAGCAGATGCTCAAGATAAGGCTTAAACAAGTAAAACACTTTTTGATCTCAGAGTTCTTTCAGCCTATTAAAAGACAAACTATTGGTAACTGTTATGGTTCTCATGCGGAAGTTCAATTACATGTGGTTAAAAACACAAAATTCAAAATATCACATTCCTTCCACTTCTTAGGTTTCGCCTGGTGATGATTAAAACTGGCTGCACACATATACCGATTCCTATATCATCTAATCATTCAAAGCTCAAATTTCCCTTGAACTATATAATAACATTTATGATATGTTAATTTGTCTATACTTGAACACTATCCTACTGGTATTCTACACTGTTCAGTCCTATTAATGCCCCCCCCCTAATAAGTGTCTTCGGAAGTGAATTTCCACTAGTGATATTGAGCTTTATTAACGATTTAAAAACCATTATGATAAGCTGAAATTTCAAGAGAGCATGACTGAACTTCAAAGTTTGGCGGTTAACACTTAGCTTGCTTCAGATTCTAAAAAAGTAGGTGTTTCATCCGGAGAGTGTTGCAAAATACGTAAATAACTGAGTACATTACCATTTAGAAGTGTCATTAATTGAAAAATGTCTAGGTGTTTTGATTCCCCATGTTGACAAGTTTTATGTTAGATGTGACGAACTCTACATGAGTAACTTTAAAAGACAGTTTTAGCCGAGTTACCAGCTAGACTTTTCACTCAATTTTAACAATTACGTCCAGCTCATTTAAAGTATGAAGATACATTGTTCATATCGTAATTGTGAAGTATAAGAATATTTTGTGCGTACAAAAAGTTGAGTAATAGGTCACGAAGTGCGACAAGATTTTCTAGAATTACGTTTCTTGAAGTTTATCAGACACTGTGTTTAAAGTGGTTCGTGTGAAATCCAGTCGGCGGTTATTTGTCGTCTCACAATCACCGGGATATTTGATCAAAGTCGCTAGCCACGATGGTTGGTGTAAATTTGTTTCTTTAATGTATTTTGTTTAGGATCTTATGCTACCAGAAAAGTTTCAGCACATTCTTCGTGTTATGAACACGAATATTGATGGTCAACTGAAAATAATGTATGCTATAACTTCGATTAAAGGTGTTGGCCGACGCTATGCTAATGTAGTATGCAAGAAAGCTGATATCGACCTTAACAAGCGTGCTGGTGAACTAACTGAAGATGAGGTTGAAAAGCTTGTAACAGTTATGAGTAATCCAAGGCAGTACAAGATCCCTGATTGGTTTCTAAATAGACAGAAAGATGTCGATGATGGCAAACACTCACAGTTGATGTCTGGTGCTTTGGAAACTAAGCTGCGTGAAGATCTTGAACGATTAAAGAGGATAAGATCCCATCGGGGTATACGTCACTATTGGGGGTACGTAAATTAGCCATTCAGATATTGTCATATTGAAACGTTTTTCGGTACAACATTCGCTTCAGTGAACTGTCGCGTTTTGTAATGGACGTGATGCAGTCATGCATTGTTTTGCTTGTGCCAAGCATTTTCTCGAACGTTGCGAAATAGGGCGTGTGCAATTGCACAGCTAGCGGAAATCATCTTCGTGTAGCTCCTATTGGTTTACAATGTTCTCCGATGTTTCACCTCATTCGTTATTCTATATCGAAGTGTGTGAATATATATCGATCTTGGTTTACAAGGCGTCTCTCGTCACTTCATCTGCTAGGTAATAATCGTCATATCTAAACATTTAGTCTAAAGCTGATCTGGTCGTTTAAATTTTAATAGTTCTTAATTTATGTTAGACACTAATTAGTTCCGTTGTACCTAGCCGACTAAATTAAGGTGTTTTGACATGCCATCAATTATCTGTACTCAATGCTGTAAGCATTGAACTTTTACTATTAAAAATTAAGATAAATGTTACATAGTTGCTGTTTGTATGTTATGTTCTGAGTCGCAAATTTCTTTTTCCTTAATCGGTTAGACCTTTTTAACTTTTTGCACAGGAACTTCTAGTTGTTGGTAGTCGTGCTATGTGTAAAACCACTCTTCAACTCACTGTATAAAAAGTAATGACTGTTCACAACAGATTTCTTGTCACAAGTACAAAAATCCGAGTAACTTCGAATATGAGCGCTCCGTCCAGTCTCTGTTGAACTTACGATATCAAATTAGTTTCCTAAGTAGTTGAGTTAGTTTGAGTCACAGCATTTAGGTAGTTGTTCTAATGGTCAAAACGGGCTTCGCACTGTTATCATTAACGCATTTAGTGCGTCCTAAGTTGGTCTCATCGTGTCAGTAATCAGTGTACTTATGTGCATAAATAATACCTACTCTTGTTCATTATTCATATGCTTTTATGGTAATTTTAGATTGCGAGTTCGCGGTCAACACACAAGAACAACTGGACGACGTGGACGAACAGTCGGTGTATCTCGAAAGAAATAAGTGAATAAAAATTTCTTACGGAAACGATGTTCTACTTCTTTTTTTATTGCATTATGCTCTCATAGTTTTATTGAGTACGAAGTAAGGACTTGTTCATTAGTTAAAGTTAGTTGTAATATTTACGGTCATCAGATTAGTCGCTCGAATGTGATTCCAGTTAGTTATTAAATAATGTAGTGATTATCAATAAGCACGTTGGACTAGGCATATTTAGATATCTATCCTTTGGGACTTTTCACCCGATACCAACTTGAAATAGGAACTCATGCTTACTGGGATTGTGACAACTGTTGGTTGGTTAAATAAGGCAAAATGATAATGGGGCTTTTGGTATTGATAAGTAAACTACTGTGATCACTAGCGTAATATCCCTGTCCAGGAAGAGGTAATTCAAGCTTGGAAGCTATGTTCGTGAGTACCAGTTTTGATAGTAAACTATTCCCCTTAGTTCTGTCTACCATCACCGATTGTTGATGTAGTGTTCCCTTATACAGTCATAGTGTAGGTAATATCTTTGGTGTAGGTGACTTGAGTAGCATGCTTCGAATTATTATAATGATTTGAACAATCAAGTGACTGCGTTGTATGTCAAAGTATTATATTCCTATGTTTAAGTTATCTAAATCGCTAACCAGTTTAATTTGTTGCATGCTGGGGGTATCCCAAATAAACATATGGCTTCGCTATACCTATTGGGATTTCTGTATGTTACCTTGATAACGGTGACAGTCCCGACGATGCTAATGATATCAAGATCTGGATACCAAAGTATAGTCCAAATTCTACACTGTTTTTTAGTAGTTCCTAGAACCTAAACCAAGAGAGGGCTTGTGAGTTCAGCTTTTAATAAGTTACAACTGTATTCTGTTGATGGTTATTCGAAACAAGTCGCTACAGTTATCATCTTGAGTGGTGATTTGCCCTCATTTAACTATTTTCAGCATCATCAACCTCATGCGTTTGGATGAAAAATAAATTCTGTAGCTTGCGTTTCTTTAACTAGTCGCTTGTTTCTTAGTCTGGCATGAGTTCCGTTATCTTAATAGTCCATACAAGTTACCCTTTTTGAGGCATCCTTGCCTCCTGAAATTCTGTTATAACAAATTAGAGATCTGTGTGATAGCACCGGCATTATACACGCTTGCATTGAATTCGAGACTTCAACAAACATATTTGCTCTGGCATTCTCGTAAATTTATTATGACTAGTTGGATTGTGAGTTGGTACTGGCACCCTGGGTATACTTATCAAAGCATCTCGTTTACCTAAACCGCTTTAGTAATATAGAGGTAACCCTTCTTACTTTTCATTACTCGTACAACTTATGTACAGTTCCAGAAAGTTTCCAGCTATATGAATTGCGTTACATTCTGAGTCAGGATATGATACTAGATGACCGTTGTATGTTCAGTTGAATTGTTTGAAGGTGACTGCGACTCTCCAGTATCTTTATGAGTCCAGAAACTTGTTATCAAAGTCTGTTAGTTATCATAAAACAGGTTTTGGGACGGAGAGAAGCATTCTTTATTCGGATGGTAGCTTTTTTTCCGGTTCATCCCATTCTTTCTGTTGCGGATTATCTACTCACCTCAATCTTTGATTTGTCGCGAATATACAGGTTTCTAAAGTAATTGCGGGAATTGACAAAACATATCTCTTCATCTTTTTCTATGCATCCATACGTCTGGTAACTAAAGCTTGGTAAATAATGACCTGTCTGTATTGAGCTTAATAATAACTTAGGTGGAAAGTGATTGATGAATATCAAGTTGTTAAATAGATGACTATGGGAAAGGCTAAGAATTCCACATAAATTAATTGTTGATATTGTCATTTCATAATAATTTACTGAAAATTTTCGTTCTAATAGCTAACCGGAATAGCGTATAATGATCCGTATTTATCTTTGATAGGAAAACTTTTTCGCATACTTAAACACCTTTGATCAATAGATAGTGAATTTTCTTTGGTTTCTATTTCTTGTTCAAGGGAAGTCCGACTCTTTTGCAATCTACCTAATGTGATGTTTGCATTCCTGCGGTTGTTTTTAAGTTCTTCGATTGTTTTTCTAAGTTCCAAAACTTCAGTCTGAAGCCTGTAAAAAATATCAAGTATAGATGAGCTATACTATATATATATATCACACAATATGAAGTTGTTATGGTAAAAATAACTACACTTCTAGTATATTGTCACACTGTGATAGAGATAATTCATTTTCTGCATTTTTAAACAAATTTCTCAATAAGAAGTGGTTACCTCCTAGTTATAGTATATTTTTCGGAACATATTTTGTCATCATTCAACATCATAATACATATCGGTTAGTCCTAGGCATTCATGGCTACTCTGATTTGGAAAAGTGTTGGTTGTAAGCAGCGGCCAAGTGAGTTGGAAATGAGTGAGGAGATTATTGATAGTAGTTAATGGTACTGTGGTACGACAGAACAAGTTAAATCTTAAAACTACATGAAATCAAAGCATAACATGCATCAACCAACACTTCTCGGAATACTTTAGTTCAATCAAGAAAGAAGATCATTTACATCTCAACACAGAATTTTGTTTGTGGACAACATTGTGATGCCTCCTATTCTGAAGAGTCGTCTCGTGAAATCTTGATTACAGTCGAAGAACAGCTGAATTCCACAAAAACACCTTGTGAATCTTCAAACGAAGTTAACAATAACAGTACATGCTCTTTTCAATGGCGATCAGCCGACCTTAAAAATATCAAAACAATCCAAAAAGCATTTTCCAACTATAAGGAAAGGTGAATAGCTGAGGCATTACACACATTCCTAAACCCTACTGCTCTCAGTAGAGGAAGTATTGGTAATCACTCAACTTGGATAATCTATCCAAACAACCATGGTACATTCGATTCACACTACATCAGTAACACATACAAACAGCCCTTTCGCACTGGATTTCATATTTTCCCACTTCCACTATAATACAAAGACAAAAGCATATCGCACATCGTAGGAAAGGATGCTTTGAGACTCGATACAGTATCATGTATTGTATTGATATTTGCTGGAGCTCATTCTATGTAACATGAAGTAGTAGTAGGCCTTATTTCACGGATTATTTGAAAAATGTATACACTAGCAAATGAAAGAGTTATGGAAAGAAGTATGAATATACTAGAATTAAGTTTGTTTACCTGTCTATCCAGTGGTGTATCACTTAAGCATCTCTATCTTTCAGAAAACATCATAGTAAAGTCCTTCATCAAGACTGCTTTATTATCACTGAATCCGTCGAAGTATGTTCACGGAGATGGTAAATGAAACCACTAAACCATATTTAGTCAGACTACATCATTGAACGAAGTAAAAGCTGCATGGTAGGATAGAATGAAGGGTTGGAAAGAACGTGCAAATGAAGATTTGTGTTCAATTCTTAGCTACACTTGGTGCGTGCCCATTGGTTAACTTCCTTACATCGCTACTTATAACTTATTAGAAGTAGTTAATAATTACGAAAGATAATATTTAGAGGTGAATTACATATGACACAACCATATAACTATCCTAGGATCTACTATTAGATCCTGTTGGCCTGATCATAATTCCCACTTATCGCGTTGTTTAGACATAAATACGTACCTATCTGGAGCTTTATTTTGGTGTTTTAGTACTAATCATATTAGTATATAGATACACTTTAGTGTCGGAGAAAGTAAACTAGTAAGCTGAAGATGTCGTTAGGGTAAATTATGTCTTTACGAATTCAGTTCGGTTAATATCTCGCTTCAGTCAACGTGAACTTACGTTTTCATTGGTTGATCGTAACAACTCTCCACATCGATCCTTCGAGTTCTTTCTTTTAATCTGGTTTGTGCAACTTTCAGTGGTTGGATTTTGTCATCGGTCGTCTTTTTAAGTACTCCTATTAAGTTTTCCACCTCATATAATTCCTGTGTAACCTAATGAGTAATTTACGATTAAAAACGATAGGAACAGAAAATAGTAATGTTTACTTTTCTCAAGGATAAGCGAAGATTATCTCTTGCGTTGGCAACTTCATTTATTCTTGTTTGTAGTGCATTATTTACCGTAACAAATTGACCATGTACACTACCAATTAAGGATCTTAAGGCAGAATCAATTTTTTCACGTAGATTTTCAGATGCACTACGTTGATTTTGTGATCTAATTAAATTTTCTTGAGTGTACCTCATCCATGAAATTGGGATACTCCGACTGAAAGATAAGAGTTAAACAAGGTCGTCAAATTTTCTAGATACGAATAGGAATTGGATACTGTCGAGTCATACACCATTTAATTTAGTTAGTAGAGACTTCAAATGTCAATACTAAGCTTTTGGCGCTATGAAGTTTCCTACACAAATTTTAGATCATAGTCATAGAGTTTGATGTGATTACGTAGAATGAGTTGTTTATAATCTATTAAATAACAATTTTTTTGATTTAGGTTGATAGTGATTTTTTTCAGTAATTTGGCGTTCAATTTTATTCTACTTAATATACAAATAAGTACTCTAACTTTATTCTCAAAACAAACATTTAAACTCGTGCTTCAGGTGATATTTATGTTGTAATTTGTAAATGCGTGCTAAAAGGTTCCTAATTATGAATAATAAACAGTAACCAATGGAAGAAAAGAGTTAGACTATGAAATTTAAGAAGCAACGAATTTGGGAGGACTAGTACTTACTATAAAAGTTGGGACGAGAAAAATAAAACCGGTAAAATATAAATAGTATTAGTTGGTCTGATAAACACAATTTTTGTTTGGAGTAAGAAAGTAATGGACGATTTTTCGAAAATCACGGTTAAGATCTTAGTTCTTCACATTTAATGAAGTCAAGACAATTTTAGGTTACCACACCACATTACGTGGTTTTGTTATAGAATACTTTTACAGATAGATCCCCATCAATTTATATAGATAAAAACTATATATTTTGCTAAGTTCCTTTGATATCCATGCAGCTGAGTAAATTAAAAATAAATAATGAAGTGTAAATTATTCGAAAACTAACAATTCTGCAGAATGGTCAAAGTCTTGAACAATTAGATAGAATTTACAGGAATATTTACTTTATTTGTCTTATTACATGCGTGATCAATTCTATTAATTCGTGATGTATAGTATCATAGAAAATTTTAAAAAAACACCTTCCGTAAAATTCTTCTCCTTACATTTTTAAAATTATTGGCTATAGTTATATTTGTGGTAGCGCATAATTCTTACTCTGTAACCATGGTGATTAATTTGTGACCCCCCTCTTTCAGTGAAATAATCGAATTATTTGTTAAAGGCAACTAACCACCGCCTATCATGATATATTAATTTAGTTAGTATGGGAGTAAGTTAGAAAACAGGTAATCATCATGAGTTGTGTCAATCGGAGGTGTGGCAGTCTGAGCCAACTCACATATGTACTAGGCTCTACTTGTTTTTAATGAGTGATTGATCGGTTTATTTATTTTAAAAAATGTATAATATTGTCAATATCTATTTTAAATTATCACCATTTCACATTAGATAATAATAAACATTCAAATTTCACTAAAAATGATATCCATCCAATTATTCAATTCATGATGGAAGTGATATCACATTATGTTTTATTATTTGAAATGATTTTAATTGTTCATTGAAATTATTTGATGGATATTTAGATATACGTGTTTTGTAAACAAAATTATATCCATATATACATAATGTAATTAAACATTAAGCATTTATTCTAATGCATTTAGAGTGTGAATCTTCTTGTTTTTCAATTTTTCTGTTTTACTCACAAATAATAGTAAAAAATTCTACCTGGGATATGTTATTCATTAATTAGTTAGTTACATTTAACATAATTTGGTAATTATATGATAATCTTTATGGAATTATCCCATAATCATGAGTTATCAAGCATATTCCACATTTCGAAAATTTTCGAAGTGTGAAGAGTAGGTTCGACGCATGCATATATATTATTTATTATTATTAGCTTTATTCAATATTATATTTTTGGTACAATATAGAATTCTCAGCATAAAATATTTCAACAAGTTTCCGTTTCTTATTTTTTTTATCGATTCTGACGATAAATATTGAGTGATCGCGAGTTAGATGTTAGCACTTCATGAATCGACATTTGAATACTGTACATTCTTTTCAATATATATTGTCAACAACCACGATATCTGTGATTGTACTTTTTTGTAACTTGTACAGTAAAAGGTTGTAAACTTTTCATAAACGCACCTGAATAGGTTATGCGATTAGTAAACATAATGTGTTAAAAAAAACAAAAATCAGATAACTTGTTGAAATATCTAGGTGGCAGGATCAGGTAGCCCATATATATATATATATATATATATATATATATATATATATAGCTGATGATTTTAGTCTATGTATACTAAAAGCAATGGAGAATGATACAAATCTAAACAACCTTTAGGGCTTTCGCGTCGTTAGTACAGTTAAAAAAGCCTGGATGTACAAGGCATCAGTGAAGACGGTTCTTGTTTATAATGATGATTTCTGGCTCTTTTAAGCAGGTATTTTTCGACTATGTTCTATCGTTGCTTAATTTAAAAAGCTACTTGCATCCAGTTCCAAGACTGTGTATGTAATATTAAGGCCAGTCACAAAAGAGATCATTGTTCTATCAATACTTATACAAGAAAACATTAATTTAGTGACTAATCTAATACATTAAAGCCCATTAAATAAGCTTACGTATTATCGAAATATTCAATCCCATTGTAAAGAGCAATATTTGCTGATGAGTTGCAGAGACCATGCAAGCGATCATCGATTGTTTGGGCGTGATCTTTATCAACAGCATCCTTTTGTAGTTCATTCTGAGTTGAGCGTAAAAGTCTAGGAAGATAAGAAAAAACTACGAGGATTTTAAATCCGTCAAATTTTCGTGAGTAAAAATTCCTCCATCGAAATAGTCTTAACTGGACAATATTTTTTGTTTGAAAGAAATTTCTCAATGAAACTGATAATATGTGAAAGTCTGGTATAAGTTATCCCTTAAATTTCATGCGTGTATGATTTTGTGACTCAATTATGAAGCTAGATCATCATGGAAAACCTGGAAGCACTGGACGGTGGTCCATGGTGGTCTAGCTTCAATAGACTCATGATTTCAACTACAGAAAATTACTAAAATTTCCATAAAACCCCCTTCAATTATAAATGTTAACAGTCAAGTATTTATGCTATTATTTTTTATACAGCTGGTTTATTCATATAAATCAATCTCAATAAGACGACTAAGACTACGTTTTTATAACTGTTATTTTTGGAATTCTATACAATAGAAATACGTTATGATGATTTGGTTAGATAATTCACTATTTGAATATCAAGACCTATGATAAATAGCAACATTTACCATTGTTATAACACTTATTTTCAGTATTTAATTTTCATATATTTATTGATCAAATTTGGTTAGAGGTAAGAATCAGTATTCTTGTTACTATCTGGTATATTCTTTACAGATAGGCAACCATTTACATATATATGTTGTACTATGTGTCATTTTAATCTTGATTAAATATTATTTTCAATTTTGTATCCAGAAAACACTTACAAACAGAAACTTCAGAAAAAGGACTAACTATTCACAAAAGGAAAATAATTGTTTATCATATATACCTGTCAAACAAATGCTTATTATTTTTTAAAAGAGACATCTTTTAATGCCGTAAGATCAAGTAGAAAAATAAATGTTATTGTAAGGATGGCTCGTTGGCAAACTCAAGAAAGCCTCGAAAAACCCAGAAAGAGCTGAAGACATTCCATCCAATCACCACTAGGGAAACATTCTAGAATGTCGACGTGTAGCTTCCCTATTGGATGAATAAGAAGGACTTCTTATGTGCCTGTTGGCTGTCCGAAACGATTATTTACTTTCAGCCAGAAAACTATAAATACATGAGATCTTTGTACTATATTTGACATTGTTTGGGGAATAAAGTTCCTACTTACTGGTCTTCTCTCTTGCGAGGTTGTAGATCCGATCGTTCAAGTAGTCTAGTAGTACGCGGCATAGCAAGAATCAAAGCTCTAGATATAACAGCTATGACCACTTAAATAACTGGACTGTCATAAAATTTTTTATGGAAACTGTCGATACAGTTTAATTTATTAACATACATTGTGATTTCCTTAAGACTCTTGATAAAGTAACATGGAATCCATATAATTCAATAGGTTTTATATGTCTTGCAAAGTTAAGAAAATATGACTAAACATATATATACAATAATTTAAGGTGATAAATGAAAAGTGTTACTTGCATTTATTTGCCAATGGCAAAATAGAATTAGTTTATGCTTCAGCATGAGAAAGAGAGAGTGGTAAACATAAGAATGAGGATAATTTTTTGGTATAAAATTTTTAGAATCGATAACTTTTTATGTTTGATTTTTTAATATCTTTTTAGAGGTGATTTCAATAAATCGTTTGATAATTCTATAGGTATGATATTGATAAGAAAAGCACGAAGGGTTATTTGTTAACCTTAACGTGACTCGTATATATATATATTCTTAATTATGTTCTGTAATTAATTAAATTGCATTCGTAAACCGTATTTATGTAAAACAAGTCGCATTGATGCTCTAAAGACATTACTTGAGATATCTGATACCAAAAACACAAGTTATTGTGTTCGTTGTAAGATTTAAAGTTTTTGGATTGAATGTTATATATAGTTTTGGGTATATAATGCTAACGAGCTTTAAGTGTTAAGATCTAATATCCATTCACCACTTCTTGGTTTTCAGTGGTTATTCATCTAATTTTTAAAATTATGAAAATTATTTTGTGTTATGACGGTTTATTTATTGCTGGATGATTAATTCTATCCACATAATTAACTTCCTTTGTTAGGCTAAATAACATGGACGAAATTATTTAGTCTAAAAGGATTGATAAAAGGTGTTTGGAGTGATTTTGAAATTTTGAGTATCACAAAATACCTGTGTTACTTTAGTTCTGAATACGATTTCTAAAATCTGTTTTAAAAAAATTGAGACTGTTATGTCATTAGTTCTCATTAAAATGTTCCATAACTGTTAGTATTACACTGTTTTAAAATCCCTAAAAACAGATATTTGGATAAAGTTATTATAGTACAATAACGTACTGATACATGGAATATCAGTTTTGAGTACCAAACTAAAATGTAAAAACGTGTTTGTAAGTAATTTCTTTTGGTAAAATATGAGGCTTATCAATGGAACATTTATCCTGGATTTCACAGTGAGCTATTATCGTAAATGTCAGGGGCTTAAGAATGTAAATCTACTTTCTACTGGTCTGCTTATAAAATCATATCCCTAACTTTGTGTAGTATTGTATTATCCATTATTAATTTTGTTTTAATATAATCCGATTTTAGTGATTTTGATTTTATATAAATCCCTGTTTATGGTGTTTGTTGTAACTGAGAAAAATTTAAGATAGACGGATTGAAGCTATCAGTAGAATCCAGGACACGTATTTTGTTCTATACGGGACTCGTCAGCTGAAGGCAAATGTCTACTAATCTAAATTACAGGACAATTCGAATCCTCACTAATAATTATATATTCAGTGGAAAGTCTTTTTTTTATTTGCATTTTGTTACTATCCAAACTTACTTGTACTTAAGAAATTAATAACTCATTGAGTTTAAAAGTTTTCAACGGGGAGACTAAATTTTAAGGATGACTTTTGAACGACTCTCAAGTGACCTTGAGCAATATTGACAAATCAGAAAACAGTTAGTATATAGTGAAAATATATTATACAAAACCAAAGGATTAAATTGAATACACTTCTTTTACGTAGTTTAAAAAATTGTCGAGGCTAGAAAGAGGTTCGGAGGTTCTAAAATTGTAATGCATACGGTGGAGGAAATCATCAGTATAGTCGACCTCTGAAGCCACGATAAGGTCGCAAAAGCTGTTCCAGCCTCGACTATATAGTTTCAATATTGTTTGTCTGCATTCCGGTCGTTGGGTTCACGAAATCCCACTTGTGGACAACGACACGAAGCATATAACCAAGTCTGTAGGCATTTGTACGCTCTCCAGTCATCCGTATATATTGCAGTACCAGGCTGCAGCCGGTGCTATTGGTGATTTTATTATCCAGTTCGCAACAATTGTTATAATTTGCCTAAGTCTCACTCTGTATCGAGCAAAAAATCCTATTTTAACAAACTTCTTCCTCTAACAAATATTACATCGAAAGACAACATCATCACGGTAGTCTGCATATGGTCTACAGGTCATTTGATTACCACAATTACAAATAAAGGAACTTCTCAGTAGTCTCAGTAGTTCTCACTGTTGTAGTCACTCAATTATTATGTTTTCTCTAAAACCCTCTATGAACCGAATGTACATCAGCATCAGGTATTGAAATTGGCGCCATGACCTTGAAATCCCTCAAACGCTTCTGATTGACTGATCCATAAATTATAGTCTCACCATTTAGTCTTTTAAGTCTCATTTGAAATTTTTCTATTTTATTTAACTCACTTTAGTTGAATTTCTGCTTTATCAATAAGTTTAGTAATTAAATCAATTCCTTTGTTGACAGTTTGAACTTCCTAAAATTGAAAAAAAAAACATTTTCATTATTTATTTGTTTATTTTTTCCAAAAAAAGAAACAAAATTCATTTTCGTATATTTGATAAACTCAAAGTTTAAAAAAGCAACAACGAATTGATACGTCTTTATTTTCAAAAAAGAAAATAATCTAAACATGATGGTTTAATTTTATTGTGACATTTTAATATTCATTTAATAGTCTAGATAAAAAAAGAAAGAAATTAGAATTTCATCAAAGGTCAATTAAGATTAATCCTTTAAAAAAAAATAGAGACTGCTTCTTTGAGTTATTGATTCTTATCTTAATATGGTTTCTATTTTCAGGTTTGTCAATATTCATTTTTTAAGTTGATTATTTCTTTGTTTCATTTTGACTGTCAGCAAATTGATTGGAAACTATAAATAAAGGCTTCATGTTAATTGGGATTTGTTAGTAAGGGGGGAGGTGTTCAACTTGTGAGGAGCTAATGTTATCTAGACTATTTAAGTTCATATCACCTAGTTTCTCAATCAGTGATAATACTAGTGAGTTATTTTTATTACGACTAACCTTCTGTAGGACTGATAGTTAAACTAGATTAAAACTAGCATCTGTCGGCAGTTTAAATGCTATAAAGATCTATGTTTGAATTCGTTTTATTGACTTGTTTTTCTTTTAAACTAAGGGTTAAAGTAGAAGAATTTATTCATACTGGTAGTTAAATTTACCTGAATGTTGGGAATACCTACCTATTTAGTTAAGAAATCTCATTTCTTACTAGAGACAAAACTATGAAATCAGGTTTCAGATCCATGTATTGAAATGTTTTTGGTTGATTTGGAGGCATTTATCTTAAATAGATGCTATAAAGTTTTGAGTATTGTTTGATAATTTTGTGCTATAATTATCAACCACTCTAAGAAAAATCTATAAATATCAGGGTTCAAAGACACTTTTTAATAGTCAAATCGTTATTATACTTGAAAAGGTTAATATTCGCCAAACATAAAACTGTTTTTCTATGCCTCTAAATTTTGACTATTTTTAATCCAATAATTGTGTAAAGTACTATCTTAAACGTCTATTTATTTATGGAATGAGATATATCTATCTATTTACTTACATACTTCTTATTACGTAATGATTTTAATGTTTTGTGATTACTATTCCAGTCTATTTACCCACGTTTGACCTCTTAATTCTTATATTTAATTATTGATAAGACTTTTGTTATCGTAATTTACTATTCTTACTACTATCAGTACACCTGTCTTCACACTATCAACTTGTACTTTTAACTATTATTACGCTTGGTAACGTATTCTATTTCATTGTGATTATTGACTCAAATAGCCTTGATTGGTCTAACATTTTCATATAAATATTCATATATATTAGAGTAAAGCCTGATGACGATCTAATTGAAAACAATTGTTCGCTTACATATGTTGTTCTAATATATCTTTTAACAAGGGAAACATAAAGTCACGTTCATATAAAATTTTATTTCATTTTGTAAATGTCAAAAATCTACTCAATATAGCAGATATTAGTTTTTCAGTATCGATGATTATTCCATATGAAGTTTTGATTGTGTTTTAAGTTATGAACTGATTACTGAGATATTACTTTTGATTTAGAAATTCCAAAAGAGATCGAAATAGTGAAGTATAAATGATAATAAGGAAGATTGAGCAGTAGGAATATAAATCAGAAAGACGAGGTTAAAAATTATGTACGAAGAAACAGTGGAATTCAAGATCATGAATATAAAAAGTGAATGCACCTTAATTATATTGGATGATTCTGAGTAATTTCACTCAATGTCCTTAAACACTGACCGTGTGAATCACGTGGAGCTTAAGCGGGTAGTCTACATCTACCAAAATGGCTCAGATCAATGGTCAGTGAATTTAAGAACTGATGGCATGTCTTGATTTATACTGTACGACAAATGAAATAAATTAATAAGTTTCATGGAGTATAACAAATTCCTGAAATGGATTTGTAACAAAAAAGAAAACCTTTTAAAGTAGTTCAACAATTATTTTTGCTCTTTCTTTATCGTACTAGTGTAAGTATACAATGAAATGGCATCCAAATGTGTTGATGTCCAAATTCAATTAAATCATGATCTTACAAAACCTTTCATCTATTGTCTGTGGTGGATAGCTGTTTCACACTCGACACGGATTTGACTCCACTAGTCACAGATCCTCACTAGAACTCCAGGAAATCCATCTTAATACTTATCACTAGTGAAATCATAATTATTTTCATTATGGGAATTTGTGAAGATTATTTGAACAATTGAATTCACTAGTCAATCTAAGCTAGATCACCACTAAAAACCTGGAAGCATTGGACATCGTTTTGTTTTAGTATGGTACTTCTCAGTAATGTGCATCCGCGATCCCGCAACTGAGGAGTCCCATCCTAGAACGAAATAGCCATTCAGTGATTCCAGGCTTTGAATAGTGGTCTTAGATCGACTTGTAGATCTAACTGTTAAGATATTTACAATTCGTATGAAAATGAGGTTGATCTACATGTATGCGATTTAGTGAACAATCTTGTTGATAATTAGTTCTGAAAGAAAATTTGTCATAGTAGATAAATATAATATATACATAGTATATAAATATTCTCAGACCTTTTTTCACAAAAATAACGTTTCTTAAAATTATCCATAGAAAAATTAACAAATTTCTAAACTATAATCCCTTCACAAAAACAAACCGGAAAACCTTAAATGTATTGATGAAAAACAAAATAATTTTTTAAATTCTTAGTTTGTATTTGCTGAATACAATTTACCAACATTATTCCTTGTTTAATGCTTGTTTCATTCTTCTATTTTCTTCCTTTCTTATAAATTGATTCACTTCCAGTTATACTAATTAGATTTAACTGAGGCTGTAGACTAATGCACCTTTGATTATAATTAGAGTACTATTTCTCATATTATTTATCATATTGCGTAACAGATTAAAATTGCATACTTATCCACCTTCATGTTACTGTGTGTGTGTACATATATGTACATTTATAAAAAGATGCATATAAAGAATGTGATATGTTAAATAAATTCAATGTTTACAAAACTATATCTAATTTTCTTTGCTCTATGATTTATTCTAAATTAATTATTCAGAAAATATTCCTCTGTACCCCTAATTATTGTGTTTATTATTGTTATTAATATATATTTTTTTCTCACCCCTAATTTATTTTTATTGTCTATTATTATACGTACATAGATACAGACATATATACTACAGTATGATGCATAAAATTTCATGCATTTAATTTATCCATATATGAACTGCTTAAAATGTTTCTCTATCTATTCTGTTGTTATTGTTATTGTTGTTGTTGTTGTTGTTGTTGTTGTTGTTGTATTCCTTCTTTCACCTCACCCTGATTAATTTTATTTCTTGCATAAATAATGACTTCTTTTCCTGGTCTAACAAATGAAGATGTGGTTGATCCTAGTGTTTCTTTTAGTTTATTATCTTTGCCATCATTAGTTTTTTCCCCATGTAAACTTTTTTTTTCGAAAAATCTATTTCTGAATTTATTTGTTCGCTTATATATATATATATATATATATATATATATACTACATATTGGCGCTACCATGGATATATATTTTAATGAAAGGTTTTATCCTTTGATATAATTGTTATTGTGTTTGTTTGGAGGTGGTGGTGATAGTGATTTAACATTTACAAATATATTATATTAGTGAATAATGTTTCCTGATTGAGAATATTTATGCACGTTATACTTGTTCATTCATATACATAATTGTATCTATATGCAAATGTGTAAGTTCGTGAGTATACAAATATTTATGAATTTGTTTAGTTATAAGTCAAGCATAAACTGTAAGGTTCAGTAGTTTGAAACGAGAATAAATTTGTAAATTATGTGTAACTACTTGACCGGTGCCATCAGTGGTTGCATAGATTGATTGAAAGAGGTAAGTAGATAAAAACAAATAAAAATAATGTAGATAATAAATAATAATTTTTACAAAAGATAAGTAGGAGCTATTTAATATGTTTATCAATAAGTTTTGAGGTTGTTCAGTAATTTATTTACCACCAAACGCCTATTAATGATTATTATGTATAAAATTGGTTCATATAATTGTTTTAAGTTATGTGAACTAATAAAATGAAACAAAGGAATAGTTCAATAATTAACTGATTCTTGTCAAATATATACATTCTTTATTTCATTCGTAGTACAAAAATGAATTTATGGAGTATACTATGATTAAGTAATTATTCAACACTTTGGTTCTCGGGAGAAAACTACTCACAAAGATATTTTTCTTCGAATCCTGTTGCTGTGTAAACAGAGATGGATGGTGGTCAGCGAAGGAATCCAGGACGCGAGTTTCATCCCATTCGGGAATCATCACCCGTCTCGGTCTACAATGTTTGTGACTTAAGATAATATCTATACAATCCTCCCAGGATTCATATATGCCAATAAGAGACAGATCAACTGTTGTCCTAAACATCAGTGAGAAGATTCAAGCAACCAGTACAAAATGAATGAAACTTTAACTGTGTGATCATAATTTTTTTCAGTAAAATAAACAGCTACTTACTTACTTACCTAATTAATAAAGCCTGTCACTCCTCTTGGGGATCAGACAACGGACCAGAAGCTTGTTATTCTATTATATATCAAAATTTAAACTTCATAATACCTGCTCTATAAATTCATATGAAATTTCTAATATGTATTCTGTTTCAGAAAACTCTTAAAAAATGGAAGCATTTTAAGTTTCTATTTGTCAATGTTGTTCAATGAATTAGATGTTAAAAATGTCAACAATAAAATATATTTTATCTTTGCTGGTGGCAATTAGTTAGACATATCCGGTTTCTTTAATGTTTATACTTATTAGTCCATATTTGTAGTGTATATTATAATGAACTCATAATAACTAGATGGCATAGACAAATTACATTTTGTAATAAAAACAATTTTTTCTAAAA